AGCTCACTCTCATCGGCATGTGTTTGAACCGGTTCAAGTCATCTGGAACTTTCAGTAGCCGTTCTGCCCCTGGGGATGACATCTTATGGCCGAATGAAAAAACAAAAAACAAAAAAGAAGTGAGCTTTGAAGAGTCCATCCTAAGCAGTATATAAAAAATAAAACCAGCAGAGTTATTGTGGCAATACTATTTGTTTTGGGCAAGAATAGTATAAAAGGAATATCTTATACAGAGTGTCAAAAGCGAACTATAGTTGTCACTTACTACGTACGGAGTATTACATAATGATCATCTTTTATCGAGGTAATATCAAAAATATTACCAAAATAAAATTTTTGTACAAAAATATAATTAATAGCTACTATACTTAGGAGACGGTGTAAAGGTATGGTGTCAATTGACACCACTAATCTTTTTTTTTCTATATGTATTTTCTGCATATATAAATTGAAGTTTTTAAAGATTACACCATGTATTTATTAAAAACGTGGCCAATAAATAACAAATGACACCACATCTTTTCCAATAATTACTCCAATTTCTCTCTATATAACAAGTTTTTTCAAAGTTATTTTTATCTTTTATTGTTATTTTATCTTTGTCTTTATCTTATCCTTTTTATTTTACCTTATCTTTCTATTATCCTTATCTTTTATCTTTCTCATGTTATTTTATCTTTATCTTATCCTTTTTATCTTATCTTATCGTTTTATTATCCTTATATTTATATTATACTTACCTTTCTATTCTTTATCGTACCTTATCTTTTTATTATCCTTATCATGATTCGATTTATGTTAGCCGACTCCAAAATCTTTTGAAAATAAAGCTTGTATGTTATTGTTGTTGTCGATAGAAACAAAAAACCAATAAAATAAAAAGGCTAAAGGGTCAAATAGACCCTCGAACTAACTTAAAGTGTTCAATTAGCCTTTATATAAGAGTTTCTTCCCGGCAGTCGCCAATTGAGGCGGTTCCCGGTGGATTTTTTTGATGAAAGTTTTTGGGCATCTTCTTCATTAAGTCTAGTTTATTCATACCAAATTTCAACTAAAAATTCAACCGGGAAGGCAGTCAAATGATTTTTTGAAGATAACTGCGCAGTTAAACAACGCAGTACATTTCGGAAAATCATTTGACTGCCTTCTTGGTTGAATTTTTAGCTGAAATTTGGTATGGGTAAACTAGACTTAATGAAGAAGATGTTCAAAAAATTTCATCAAAATATTCAACCGTGAACCTCCCCAATTGGCAATGACCGGGCTGAACCTCTTATATATGGGGCTAATTGAACACTTTAAGTTAGTTCAGGGGCCTATTTGACCATTTAGCCAAATAAAAATGATTATCCAATCAATAATTTGAACAGTGTTGGATGTCAAATGTTATTTTCTGTTAATACTTGTTGATTTCAATAGATTTGAAATTTTGAATATATACTCTTGTTTTAGTTGATGTATGAATACTATAAATGAAATAAGTATTGAATGATTGAGTAAAGTGAACACCATAAATTAATAAGTAATGTTGTAAGAATTTCTCATAAAACCACAAAAGGTTATTTTTACTAAAACATAAAAATATTCAGTTATTTATATGTTTATGCATTACGTATTTTAAAAATGCTTAGTTATTTACTCCGAATATGTTTATGCATTATTAAAAAATCACTTAGTTATTTATGTGTATGCTTTATTTCATTTACAATATGCATTACTTAATATGGATTATTAGCTAATCATATTCCCAACTATCATGACATTCATCAATTTATCCTATACATTCACTTTTATTAAAAAAGGGCTCAAACTTCAACCTTTTTCACAATTACACTTTCAATGGATGAATTAGTAAAAATCAAGAAGAAAATTATATTTAAATATCATATTCTTCACTTTTTTCTAGTTTTAAGTTTACAATATTGTATTGATAAAGATGTATAATAAAAAAAAGCATAATTGTTGAAAAACATGAAGTTTGAGTCTTTTGTTTTTAAAAAATGAAAGTGTAGGATAGATTTGTGAATTTGATGATAGTTTGGGATAAAGTAAGCTAATAATCCTTTGTTTGACACCACTTTAGTCTGGTTCGACCCTGACGGCCTGACTACAATCTAGTATTGTGGTAACTTAAGTTTAAAACGTGAGCATAAGTTACTATTATTTCATTACTACTCTATTCAGTAGTCATTAGTCATATTTTTGTAAACAATCTTTATTTTTGTCATAAATTTGTAATTGCTTCTATTTTATTTTTCATTGCATTTCCCAAGTCAAATTCAAATGTAAGAAAATAGTATTGCTTGAGATTTTCCCCTTTCCCTAGGATTTTATGAGTACCTAAGGGACTCTAAAGGTATGTTTGGATCTTACAAAATGCTATAGGGAAAAGAAGATAAATGCTAAGAGAGTTATTTTCTTGTGCTTAGATTTAGCTCGGAAAATGCCAAGGGAAAAAATAAAATAGTGTTTTTTAAAAAACCTTGCACATGGTTATATTTCCTAGGTCTAAATACAATATAAATAACTAAATAAAATGAGTTTGAACCAAAAATAGTATTAACAAAAAAAATCTTACTTGTATTTCTGGTTTCTGGTCAGGTCAGACCTAATCCCCAGGTCCTCCCCAAAAATATTTTGTTTTGGTGGACCAAGGCTCGTTATAGCATATAGGTAACTGCAACTGCAAATACTTCAGCCGAAAGATAATACATAAATTTCCACGCTGATTCCTTGAATTTCTTTTTCTTTTCCTCGGCTCGTCTGCCTCATTCTCTACCACCTGTCATCCCTTAGAAAATATGCAATAAGGGTGGACACGGTTCGGGACGGAACATGAATTGGATTGTCACGCTACTGAACCCGGTTTATAATAACGGTTCAGAACGGGACGAGACAAAACTTTGTCCTTTTGTGTCCATTTAAATCGGAACCGGGACAAAACGGAACTGTTCGGGACATCCTAACAAACTTTATTGAAAATTTTGCAATCCCAAAAGTGAAGCAAAGCTATTTGAAAAAAACTAGCGCAAAAAACCTTGACAAAAAATTGCTACTAGTTTAGAAAATAGTGAGAAAAAAATGACTCACAGTGACAAAACGTGTAGGAAAAAAACTCTAACACAAAAAACTATCAAAAGATCTGTAAAAAATGATAAAAGAACACTTCAAGAGGTGAAGTCTTTTGGGAGTAAAAATCAATTTCTTGTTTGTAGATAGATGATAGTTCGTAATTCATAGTTCATACTAGGTAGTTTAGAGTTCTTAGGTGTTCTGTTGCTAAACAACTATTGTAGTATTTTAATAATCATTGATTTTTGGGTTGTGAAAAAAGGATATTTATTTATATTTGGATTACATAATGAGTTTTTTTTAAACTCAGCAATGCGTATTGTAAATTAAGACTTGGTTTGATCGCCCAAAAAGGTGTAGGAGATAAAATCTCGTGGAAATTAAAAGATGGGGATACAATGTACCATCAACGGTGTGCATATTGTATTGTACAGTTTTACACTTTTATGTAGCAATTTGGCATCTTGGTGCCCCAACTTCTTAGAAATGACGACATGACGTCAAAGTTCCTTTGACCCTCTATATCCAATTTATTCTTATAAGGTACCTTGAAACACTTCCTTCGGTCATGCCAATCCCAAATGCACAATCATATCTTGTATTACACTAGAGTATTGCATTCTTCTTTTCAACATAGTTCTACATTTTAACTGCAGTTGTTTGACTTGTTTCTAAGTTACTCATATACCTAGTATTTGAAATTCAAGTAATTTAATAGACATCTGATGTGATAGACTGGTAGGTGAGATAAGGGTGCCATGTAAGTATGTAACTGTGCAAGATAAATGTACTATGAAAAATACCATGTGTCATCATCATCAATGAGTATGGGAACCCAAATCTTAGAATATACAAAAATTTGAGTTCTTGAGCATGAAATGGACAACTAACTCATTTTTCTGCTTTATACTAGTATCTTGGCATGAGAAAGAAACTACTTTGTCGTTGCAATTGCAAAATCTGTTATGATTCTACTCCATGTGAATCATGTTGGCTTTTTACAATTCTAACCTCAAAGATACAAAACATAGGAGCCAAAATCAAGAAAAAGATCATATATTTCCGATTGTTAAACAGCCACCCTTTCCTTGAATTCTGTAATGTTAGCCAAGTACTCGTAAGCATTCTTGGAATCAACCCATCCAGAAAGATCAGCAGCAACCAGACCATTCCTCTTCATGAAATTCTCTATGACTCTAAATGTTCTATTACTAACACTTGTTTGAAATCTCGACCCGCTGTGACATGTATACCCAATACTCTGCCACAGACATCCACTGGCGTGTTACCCAAAAAGCCTCCGCGTGAACTAGTATCATGCATAACCAGCATCCCTTTATCGTTTTCCTTCTCCGGTGCATTTGAAATCCCCCGAGTTACGTACAATCGAGGGATTCCTAAGGGATATGCAGCCATGTATACTTCCATACCGAGCATCAAGTCTGTACAATACTCAGGAATATACTTCGCGGCAGAGTTGCTAGCAATCTTACAAAATAGGAGCGCCACCTCCATTTTTGCTTCCTCATGGGTAGTAAGAAATTCTGCCGGATACACTTCTTCTGGCCCGAGATGAACTTCAACAAGGTCACGAGTCCCTAAGAAATAATCTTTCACAACATGCCCGCATGTTAACACTGTTATGCTGTTAGGGCTGCTGTGAAGGATAGTTCCTGTTCCATACGAACCTAGATTGTTTCCGTTGGAATTGCAGACAACTACACTAACCACCTTCGATGCATGTGCTGGCCAATTATTCATGGCTATGCAAACTAAAAATGTCAAAGCACAATAATACCAACAAAAAAACAGTTCAAATACATATTCAAGAACTAATGTGTAGTTATGGTTATTTAGTTTTTGTTTTGATATTTATCTTTGTTAGGTCCCTGTTTTCTAGTCTAGAATATATGTATGGAAGATAGATCTGGGAATGAAGCTTTCCATTGAATGATGAAGAAGTTTACAGAATGATGAACAAAACTTAGCGTAAAACTTCTATCACCGATATAGGCTCTGCGGCACTAGGGTATGAGAATATCTGAAAAGCTTAACCTAGCCTTTCCCTTAAGGCATATATATAGCCTGACGGGAAAGGTAGGTTTTACAATCATTTGGGCTCCTTTTTCTAGGAGGCCCATACCTAAAAAGGTATAAAACCTTTTATTACAAATTGCCTTAAAAGGCCTATTCATTATTCTAGCTATCTATAAACTAGCAAAGTAACATTGATCACAATTACAATAAAAATATCTCTAACAATCTCCCCCTTTGTGATCAGATGTTCTTGCTTCTTCTTTTCTTCACTTCTGAGCTTTAAAATAATGCTTTCTAAGATTGAGAGCATGCTCGTAATTTCTGAGTGATCTTCTATCATCGATTTGCTTATTGATGGCCTTCAGAACTTCATCAACTCTTTCCAGTTCTTTGATTTCTTTCTTTGTGGCTTCAGTTGATTTCTTGACAAGTCCTTCTCTCTTTGATTTCATTCTATTTCTGATGATCTTCAGCGTTCCGTCGCAGTATTTGTTTATTTCTTTGATAATCAAAATGCGCTTCTTTCCTTCATGATTCAGGTAGATGACTGAGGTTGAATTGTCGAAGATATGATCTTCTGGGAAGTCTTCTATTTCTGGTCTGTAAAGTTCTGGCTTTGTAAGATTCACTTTGGGATAATTACTTTCCAGACCCATATGAAGATCATGACCTCCATAGTATCGAACTTGTCTCATCATGAATCTTTTTATGGCTTCAAATCCTTCTCTTGCAAGTCTATCTTTATGGACCGGTAGCTCTCTGCATCTCATAAACATTTGATACACGTCGTCCATATGTAGCAGAAAGAAATCGTTTTCTTGACAAGTGAAGGTTGATCCATCAGTTCTTTGTAGATGAAAGACCATGTATTTAATCTTCTCCAGGTACTCTTCTGTAACTTTCAGGATTGTTTGCACTGGACATCCGCTTGTTGCAAGATTATGATTCAAAATCTGTCGTCGTTCTCCAGTGGATCTATGTCCGAGCATGTACAAGTTTCCTCCTCTGTCTCTTCCTTTGAGATGATTGATGCCACGCATCCTGAGTTCTGTGTATGTCTTGATCTTCTCTGGTTTGCGCCAAATTCGTTCTCTGATTTCTTCCAAGAAGGGGTTCTTGATTCTGACACTATCTACTGGTTTCTGAGTAGCCTTTTGCTTAGTGATAGATTCAGGCTCTTTGCGTTTTTCTCCTTCTTTTATCTCATCATTGTCGAGCCCAATCATCTGTGCATGATATTTATTGAGAAACTCTCTGAGCTGCCAACTTCTGCACATTTCGTACTGCTCCGCCTCCACCCTAAGATCATCCCATTCTGTCCACTGACGGGGCCATTTGTCATAGACTAGAATTTCTTCAAGTTCATCGGGTGTCTGATCATCAGGTTGGTTGGAGGGAGTCTGCTGTTGTTGTGGCGCTCTGTCAATGGTAACTCCGGGATCACTAGGATTGCCCGTTGACATCAGATTAGAACTAGGTTCTTTCTGATGGCCTGAATAGAAAGGTGTACTCGAAGTAGCAACCTCAGGACTTCCACTCCATCCTTGGTCTACATCTATGAAAGATGAGCCTAGGAGTGTTGTTTCTAGCTCGACCGGGCTAGATGTGGGTGAGTTGGCTGTTTGGCTTTTATGATGAGTGGATGGTGGGGGCTGATAGTTCGAGGATTCAGGTTGGTTGGATTGCGTAGAGGGTTGGCTTGTTGACGCATCACGCTCAAGTGTCCTTTGTCTCTTGTTCTCCCCCTCATGAGGATCCGAGTCATCGGGGTCCTCATGCGAACGTTTGTGACCGAGGAGACTATCACGGCATGAGCTGTCAGGCTTAAGGATCCGAAGAAGGTCTTTTTGTTTCTGGGTTAGGTTGCCTTCTTCGGTAGCTAGTAGTTGATCTAGCATTAGGTTCTCGAGTACCTCGAATGGTAAAGTTTTAGGGTCAGGAAAAGGTGTGGTCGAAGTAGGGGAGGACACTAGTTCTGTATCCTGGGATCCCCTTGAAGCAGTAGGTGTGTGGGGTAGGGTTGTGGATGGTTCAGAAGTTTGTTGGGTAGGTATGATAGGAAGTGGTTGGGTTTCTTGGGTATGTGAGGATGTTGGTTGGGGTTGGATGATATCATTTAGCAACGCCGGGGTGTTCCTGAATTCCTGTGCCCGAGCGGTTATTGCTTCGTGCACCCATGGTTTAATGGTGGAATCCAAGAAACGTTGCAGAATGACGGAAAGGTCGGTGGGGTCAGGGTGTCCGGTTACAGGGGTAGTAACCGTTGTCACAGCATCAGTAAAGATTACCGATGTGTGGCCTGCAGATAATGATGGAGATATCTGTTGAGCAGCAGGACTTCCGATCATCATCGACGTATCTCCGATCGTTGAGGACAAGTAGAGTGCACCTGTCGTGTGCGGTGGTGTGAGCAGTGTATGTGTCCTAGAAAATGTTGAAAATGTTGGGATGGTGGAAACTAGACTCAATGTGCTAGAAGGAGGGGTAGTGGTCTGGGGCGGAAGACCACAAAGTAAATCCTCAGCTGCTTCGTAGGGAGACAGCGAGGTGGGTATAATATCCCCTATATGTGAAACTACTACCTGTTGGGAGGCAGCAGAGTGGCTAGGTGAGGCTTGTGCATGCGCAGTTGGGCTGGATGCTGCGTCTTCTACTCGGAAACTGAAAATATCAGTTTCTGCACCTATGGGGTTAGCCCGGTTTATTGTGTCTAGGTCAGAGCAGCTGTCGTACAAAGCTAACTCTTCCGCCAGGTTGCTCGCGGTTTGCACTCTTTGCACAGGAGTAGATGATGAGGAGGGGTTGTCATTACGTACCTTGGAGCGAGTCTCACTGATGATATTTCCTTGAGTGTCCTTGATTTGGTGAGACTGCTCTTGTGTTGTAGCCCGAGAAAGCCTTATAACAAGTCGTCCTTTCTTAGCGCGGGCTTTCTCGACTTTCTTGCCCTTTGCCTTGGCATTGTTGTCATCCTCATCATCATCATCGTTGTTGTCCTCAGCCTTGCTCCCAGAGCCCTCATCGTCAGCATCTTGTGTTGTGGCTACGCTTGGCGAATCACGGGTAAACTCTTCAGCACGGGTGTGGCCCTCAGCAGACATAGTCTGATCATCATGGGGCCAACTTGCCACTGGTCTTTGTGGCTGGGTAGAACTCTCAGAACCCTCACTTACTCTCGGCTGACTCCCCGGGGTAGGCTCAGGGGGGTTTATCTGAGCCATAGGGAGTATGACACCATTCTCCTCACTGTAGCGTATGACATGTGGATCATTTCGCTCAGCTAACAGGAGGAGAGGAACAGGAATAGGTAATGGTACCAGTGAGCGTACCTCTGGCATTCTCTTCAGATATTGGAGGGCTGGAGTGCTGACATTCTCAGATGATTTGCGTCTCTGAATAGTTGGAATTGTTCTGCAGAAGTGTCGCACCAGCAGTGAGAACCATCTCATGTATGGCAGATGTTTGATCAGATCAGTTTCAAATTTCCTTCTTCGCATTTCCAGAATGTCACCCCAGATTAGTGAGGTGAAGTCGTAGTTCTTCATGAAAGCGATGCCGTGGAAGATGTAAACGAGGTAACCGCTGCATTTGTCGAAGCCGCTATGCTTGGATGTGCAGCACTTGTTCAGTGTAGCCATAAGTGTCCTCCATGGTCGTGGAAATCTTGCTGTCTTGATCGCGGACATCAACCGGAGGGGCTCAGCGTGGCCTAGAGTGATCATGTCTTCAAATATTTGCGCTTCGGAGGCCAACGCGTCATAGTGTTCCTCCTCCGGGATCTGTAGCACTTGTTGGACGAGCTCCTTCGTGATTGTGACTCGGGTGTTGCAGATCGTGGCCGCTAGGACGTCATCAAGTTGCCTTCCATTAGCATCTACGTCCTTGTCAAGTGTACCCCAGAATTGTTGGAGATACACCTGAGGAACTTCAGCATTCTTGCTCAGTGCCTTCCACAGCTTGTGTCCTTTTAGAATTGAGACGACCACGTCATCTTGGCATGAGAAGACTTCGGGGTCCAACTGTGAGTTGTTCTCCTTGATCGGGATCCAGTGTTCCCTAGCATAGATCATGTTGATTGGAGTGTTGGCAGCCATTTCGATCTGAAAATGTTAAACAGATTAGATTATATGATCAAAATGGCTAAGTCCACACTTTGTTTCTCACTTGGGCCTCCTTTTATGATTTTTTTTTTTAAAGAGAAGTGGAGCCCAATTAGAAAAGATTATTGCTTTTGGTCAAGATTGGGCTTGTCTAACTTGTTCATTGTTGGCCCAAATGAAGTTTTTCCTAAGAACTTGGTTCTGGGCTGGGCATCACTCAAACACGCGGCCCAAATGATAGCGCAGGGCTTAATTGCGCAAGAGTAATCGATCAAGGGCATTTTAGATCGCGCACCCCCTAAGATCGCGCAACCCGAGGTAATCGCGCAAGGGGGGTGGGATCGCGCAGGCTTCATTGTTCGCGCATCTTAGGTAGATCGCGCAAGGCATGGTAGATCGCGCAGCCCTAGTTCGCTCAGCCCACCCAGATCGCGCAGGGGCTGATATCGCGCAACACACATAGATCGCGCAAGGGCCGAGATCGCGCAAGGAAGGCCAATCACGCAACTCCAGACAATTTGCTCAAGCCTAGCTTAATCGCGCAGGTCTGAAGATGAAGAAAATGAACAGATCTCGTATGAGCCCTAATCGCGCAAGGGTAATCGCGCATCACCCCAAGATCGCGCAGAGTTGGAAATCACGCAATAGGGTTAGCGCAAGAGCGTTGGTTCAGCCTGTTCATCGTTTTTCTTGTGTGATACCTGTGAAAGACTCAGAAATAGCAAGAAATCATGGAGATTTTACCCTTAGAGATTTTGACGAGGAGGAGATTTGAGCGAGAAAGAGGGGATTTGAGCTCTGAGGAAGTCCGAGAGTTTCGCGCAAGAGAGAAGAATGGGGAGGAGGATTGCGCGTTTTAAAAGTTTAAATAGGCCCGGGAGAATTTTCAAAGTTTAACGGGCCCATTTCTGCCTGATTTCAAATTTAAGATTGCTCCTCCTCAACACTTGCTTCTCTTTAAGAATGAAAAATTTTGCAAACTCCCCCTCAATTTATGCAAATAATGGAAAAAAAAATGATGCATGAAAAATAACAGGAAAAACATGCGATAAAAAAAATGATGCATGAGAGAGAGAGAGAGAGAAAAATGTGATGCAAAGATGATTAAAATGCAAAACATGAAAGCACACGCACACACACAGTTCAGAGTTACTCATTCGTTCAGGTTCAGCATCCCTAACTTAGAGATCAGAAAATTGAATCTCTTTTCATCCAGGGCCTTTGTGAAAATATCAGCCAGTTGCAATTCCGTAGACACAAAGTACATGTCCACGGTGCCTTTCTCAACGTGATCCTTTATGAAATGATATCTGAGGTCAATATGCTTCGTCCTTGAATGATGGACCGGATTGCACGTGATGGCTATTGCACTTTGAGAGTCGCTGTAGATCGGGATGTGTGAGAAAGTGAACCCGTAGTCTTTCAGCTGGGTCCTCATCCATAATATTTGTGAGCAACAGCTAGCAGCCGCGACATATTCTGCCTCAGCTGTAGAAGTGGACACACAATTCTGCTTTTTGGAGGACCAGCACACCAACTTATCACCAAGAAATTGAGCACCGCCAGATGTACTCTTTCTGTCTAGCTTGCAACCCGCAAAATCAGCATCTGAGTATCCAACTAGGTCAAAGCCTGATTCCTTGGGATACCAAAGGCCCAGATTGACTGTTCCTTTGAGATATCTCAGTATTCTTCTAACAGCATTCAGATGTGATTCCTTCGGATTTGCTTGAAAGCGGGCGCATAGGCAAGTTGCAAAGACAATGTCTGGTCTGCTAGATGTAAGGTACAGCAAGGAACCGATGATAGCCCGATAATTGGTAGCATCGACTGGTTTCCCGGAAGGGTCAGAGTCGAGCTTCTGTGAGGGAGACATAGGGGTTTTCATCGTTGACTTGCTGTCCATTTTGAAGCGCTTTAGCATGTCGTGAATGTACTTGGACTGATTTATGAATATTCCGTCTGGCATTTGCTTGATCTGAAGCCCTAGAAAGAAGTTCAACTCTCCCATCATACTCATCTCGAACTTGGTGCGCATCAGATTGCTGAACTTTTTACAGAAGTTTGGATTCGACGAGGCAAAGATGATGTCGTCAACATAAATTTGTATCAGCATGATGTCACCCTTGTGTCTTTTGATGAAGAGAGTTGGATCTATCTTTCCCTTCGAGAAGCCTGATTCTACAAGAAAATCTGACAGTGCTTCGTACCAGGCTCTCGGTGCTTGTTTCAGACCATACAAGGCTTTCCTCAGCTTGTAAACATGATTGGGGCGTTCAGGATCAACAAAGCCGTCAGGTTGTGCAACGTAGACTTCTTCTTTCAAATCTCCATTAAGAAATGCCGTCTTTACATCCATTTGATACACTGTGAAGCTCTTGTGTGCAGCATAAGCGAGGAATAGTCTTATCGCTTCAATTCTTGCCACTGGTGCAAAGGTTTCATCGTAGTTGATTCCTTCTTGTTGATTGTAACCTTTTGCAACCAGGCGGGCCTTGTTTCTCACGATCACACCATCTTCGTCTTTCTTATTTTTGAAGACCCATTTGGTGCCGATGATGGTTTTCTTGTAAGGTCTTGGCACCAGGGTCCACACTTTCAATCTTTCAAACTGGTTCATTTCTTCTTGCATCGCAATCACCCAGTCCGGATCAGCCAATGCGTCAGTCATCTTTGTTGGTTCTTTCTGACTCAGAAAACATGAGTATAAGCATTCATTGACTGATGCCGTTCTGGTTCTGACTCCTTGAGATGGATCTCCAATTATCAGCTCTGGCGGATGTGCCCTAGTCCACTTTCTCTCATGTTGTAGAGGCTGTGGAGTTATGATTGGATGATCAGGGTCAGAATATTCTTGTTCTGGTTGTACTTCTGGGGTTTCTTGCGTTGCAGCTTCTTCAGGTTGATCATTAACAGGAGAGGTTGGTTCATGTTCAGCTTCATTATTTGTATGCTCATCATCATTCTGAGTAGGAGTGTTGGTTTCTTCAGTAGTTGGAGCAGGTAACAGGGGGTTCTGAGTGATTGTAGCATTTGTAGTTGGTGGTGCACGTGGTTGACTGTAGAAGTGTTCAAATAGAGAATCCAGAACCACGTGCTCATCAGATCTTGTCTCACCTCCCTGCCCTCCTACTCCAGAAGATGATGGAGTTTCATTGTTTGCAGAGGTTGATGGTTCAGAATGAAAATGTTCAGAAGCCAAGTCCGCCATTTCATAGAAGCTCACATTGATGCTCTCCATGACGGTTCTTCTGTCTTTCAAGTATACTCTGTACGCCTTGGAATTGGTAGAATACCCAATGAATATCCCTTCGTTTGCTTTTGGATCAAGCTTCCCCCTAGCATCCCTGTCGTTCATAATGTAGCATTTACAGCCGAAGACGCGGAAGAAGGCAATGTTAGGGATCCGCTTGAACACAATCTCATAGGGTGTCTTGTCAAATCTTTTGTGGATCACAGTTCTGTTCTGTGTGAAGCAAGCCGTGTTGATAGCTTCTGCCCACATGAAGTGAGGAAGCTTTGACTGTATCAGCATGGTTCTGGCTGCTTCTACCAAGGTTCTGTTCCGTCGTTCTACAACACCGTTCTGCTGTGGTGTCTTAGCTGCAGAGAACTGTTGAGTAATTCCCTGAGCTTCATAGAATTCGGTCAGTTCCTTGTTCTTGAACTCCGTCCCGTTGTCAGTTCTGATGATCTTCACATTCTGCTGTAGATAGTTCTGTATGGTCCTGATGAACGTCATGATTAAGTTTGCAGTTTCGTCCTTGGAGCGCAAAAACTTGGTCCATGTGTAGCGTGAGTAGTCATCCACAATTACCAAAGTATATTTGCGTCCACTGATGCTATGCACGCGCATCGGACCACACAGATCCATATGTAGTAGCTCCAGGGGACGAGATGAGGAGGGAAATTGTTTTGACTTGTGTGATGCTCTCCTCATCTTTCCCAAATGACAAGCAGGACAGTGATGGTTGGGGGAGTTCTTCAGAACAGGCAGTCCTTTCACCAACTTCTTCGAGGAGAGGGAACTGATGGCTGGCAGATTCAAGTGTGAGAGACGTCTGTGCCATAGGCTGCTTTGTTCTTCTGATGCTTTGGACAGGAGACAGATGGATATGGGGGATCGTACCGATTTGAGATCAATGGTGTAGAGATTGGTTTTCCTCTGACACCTTAATAATGGTGTTCCACCCATATCCATCACACAGCATTGCCTAGCATGGAATCTTACTTCCATTCCATTGTCACAAAATTGGCCGATGCTAAGCAAGTTGTGCTTCAGTCCCTGCACATACGACACATTTCTGATTGTGACGCTCTCACAGATGACATCTCCTATCCCGAGTATGGGCGATGAAGCATTGTTCCCAAACCTCACATTTCCTCCAAACCTTTCAGAATAGTTGCTCAGTAGTTCAATCTGTCCAGTCATGTGTGACGAGCAACCCGAATCAAGATGCCACACATGACTGACCTGCAAAACAGATTAGTTTCGCTTAGGTACCCATCGCCAGATGGGTCCTTCCTTATCAACAGTGAGCAATTGTTTCAACTTCTTTTTGATTTGGGATCCTTGGCTGGCTGATTGAGTAGAATTTTTCAATTTTAATTGTTCTGCTTCAGCCTTAGGAACCCATTTTTGTTTTATTTGAACGATTTTTGGAGCGAGGGAACTTTCATTCGTCCTAAGTGATTGTTCAGATAAATGGTCTTTCAAGATTGGTTCACGTGATAGCCTTCTCAGATGTTTGACTGAGTGAATCTTGAGAGGATACCTTAAAAATGGCAATTTGACCTCACTCTCAACATTCACCCTATCAATCTTGGGCTCATTCACAACATTCTTAACAATCACAGGATCATTTGGTTTGCGAGAAGAAACAGACTCAGAACAACAACATTTCATTAATTTAACACAATCCAGAGAAACACATTTAGTACAGCGATTCGAGACAGAAATCTTAGAACTAGAAGACTTAGGAGCCACTCTCTTAGCATAACTAGTAGATGGCTCACTAATGCTAGAACTAGACTTATTCTTATCATAAAAAATGGCGCTCGACCGCTGACTCTTATTGCTTAATCTCGACTCTTCTTCTCTCTTCTTCCTTCTTATTTTGTCTTCAATCCACTCTCCTTTCCTCTCGACTCTCTTCTTCACATCTTTCCCTGTCGGAGAATGAGACTTGGGGTGAGAAGGAGAAGTCTTAAAACTATCGCTTGAATTTTCAGAAGTGTTTTCAGAAGTAGAAGGGGAAGAGTGTTGAGAAGCTGTGTTAGACTGAGAGGCGGTTTTTAAAGAAGATATTTCTTTTAAAAGTTCATCCTTTTCTTTTTCTAAAACCTGCTTTTCCTTTTCAAAAGAATCTTTTAACTCAGCAAACTTTCTCACCAATGGTGGAATGTAGGCTGGTTTCTCAATTGGTTCAGATGTGGAGGCCTCCTCTCCGTCTTTCTCAGCTTCCTTTTCAGGAGGATAGGTCAAGATTTCTTCAGCAGGGGTCAAAGGGAGTGCTTTGGTTTTGTAGCTCTTGTTTAATTCTGTGTAGTCAAAAGGAACCTCGACACCAGCTTTTGTCTTTCTCTTTTCATCCTCAAGGGCATTCGTTTCTTCATTACCAGTGAAGGCCATGAGTTTGGTCAATCCTATTTTCATGTATCTAACATCATAGAGTTGTTTACAGTTGACCTTTTTCAGGTTCTGAGGATTGGTCAAACCCAAGCCTTCTTTGGCGTTATAGAAACGAGTGTCCTTAGGCTGGTTAAGGAAGATGGTCTGATCTGTTTGGTCCCTTTTGGCTAACAGATCCTCAAGTTCTTTGATTTTAGTATATAGAGCACCCCTTCTTTCCATTAGCAAATTATTGACACCAAAAAGCCTAATTCTTTCTTTTTCAGTTGTTCTAAGCTTCTCTGTCAACTCTTTCTCACTAGCACTAAGTCGCTTATTCTCAGTTGTGAGTTTAGTGATTGTTTTCTCTGAATTGATTATCTTAATGTTTGAGCATGTCTGTTTTTCACGCAGTTGGTTATATACCTCATACAACCGTTTGTAATTCACCTCAAGCTCCTTAAATTTATCATGCATATCTGTTCTAGAGCAGTTATGAATAGATGAATTAGAGGTACTTACTTCATTGTCAGCATTTCTGTTCTCAGCAGTCAGGGCAGTCGCTTCATCAGCATTGGTTGCAGTAGGCAGGTTTTTCTTCTCCTCAGCTTTGTCTTTCTCCTTTTCATCAGCAGCAGGGGTTGACTTCATCTTTCCTTCCTTTTCAGCATCCTTCTCTTTCTCTTCTTCTTCAACCACTGCCATCAAGGCCAAATTCTCTTCCTCATCAGAATCATCCATCCAGTGGTCTTTTTCAGCCATGAGAGCACTCTTTTCCTTGTTTTCTTCCATAGCCAGCAACATCTTCTTCTTGTTCAGGTACATCTTCTGCTTGTAGTACTCAGCATCCTTCTTCCTCTTAGGCATCCTGCAGTCCTTCATCAGATGTCCAGTCTTCCCACAATTGAAGCACTTTGGAGCATCCTCAGCAACAATATTCTCAGAAGAATCAAAAGATCGCTCTTTTCTTTTGCTGTTGCTGGTAGAGGACTTGCGGAGCCTGTTGTTAGAGGAGTTCTTCTTCATCTGCATATGATTGTTGAACCTCGAAGTAAGAAGGGCTATTTGCCTCTGAAAATCATGCATCTCATCATCATCTGAATCATTCCTCATTCCTGCGTCACTGTCAGTAGTCTCACTTTCTTCAACTATCATCTTATCCTTCTTGGAGCCAGACTTCGATGGCTTGTCAAGCATCAGGGCAAGGGTGTCGGCAAGCTTGTCCACGGCTCCCTTCCCTTTATCAGCTGTCACAGAGGCGACCACGAGGTCAGAAAAATCTTCAGCATACTGGTCAAGTGTATTGTACACAGCATGGATGTCCATTTCATCAAGGTCTTTCGTGTGCCTTATCTGTGAGCTCAGCTTCTTCCAGTCAGCTCCAAGAGAAGATAGGAATCTCACGTTCAGTTCCATGTTTGACTTGTGCACGCCAATCTTTCTCATCTCATTTATCAATTGCAGGAATCTGAGGTAGGTGTCTTCAAGTGATTCTCCGAGCTTGGCTTTGAATGAGTCATAAGCAGTGAATGTGCTAGCTTTCTTCGCCTTTACTCCTATCTCTGTGCCTTGCATGATCTTGAAGATCTCATCCCACATCTCTTTTGCAGTTGACATGCTGTCAATCTGCATATAGATGTCGTTCGGGATGGCCTGCAACAGGTAGGTCTTGGCAATGAGATCTGCCCGGAGTCTTGCTCTGTCCTCGTCATCATATTCATCAACAGTCTTTGGTCTCCACTCAATCTCAACAGGTGGGTTGTTTCCGTTATCTCTCTCAACTGCTATCATCAATTGTGCAGGTCCATTCGTGATAGAGTCAAGAAGACCTGAGGATTGGTCCTTGCTTTCAAGAAAATTTAAGAATCTGTTCTTCCATACGTTGTACTCCCCTCTTCGAAGAATCGGGGGTCTTGTATCGTTTCCAATCGATAGTGCATCCATGTTAAATGATCGGGCTGATCAGTTGATTGATTTGATTCTGTTTTGTTGGTTTCAGTACTTTGGGCAGAAGGTCCTTTGCAAGTAGAATCGCTCAAGTGTTGAAGGATCGCTCAACTTTACAAAGATTGCTCAACTTTAGAAAGGATCGCTCAACTTTACAAAGATCGCTCAACTTTATAAAGATCGCTCAACTTTTACAAAGGATCGCTCAACTCTCACAAAGATCGCTCAACTTACCAAAAAGATTGCTCAACTTAGCAAACAATCTCTCAACTTAAAAAAATCTCTCAAGTATAAAATCGCTCAAGTTCTGGATCGCGCAAGGAGGTTTGCGCAAAATGCTGAATCGCGCAGGAGGATCGCTCAACTTGAGAAAAATTGCGCAAAGTCCAATTTCGCGCAGGAAGAGTTGCGCGAAACTCCAGATCGCGCAGGAGAGCTGTTGCGTGAAGTCTGAAATCGCGCAGAAGGCAAATGGAGCAAATCCAGAATCGCGCAGGCAATGTTGCGCGAAGCTGAGAAATCGCGCAGGAGCTTGATCGCGCGAACCTGTTCTTCGTTCCAGGGAGTTGCGCTAAATATCAGGATCGCTCAACTTCTGCCTGACCTGTACGTCAACTTTCAGATCGAGATTTTCTCCAGGAATGATCCTAGCAACAGTAGAAACCTTTTCCTTCAAGCCATTTCCTGCAAAAACAACAACAAAAATAGAACCAAAAATCGCTCAAGTGCGAAACTTCAACGATGAAGAATCGCGCAGGAGTGTTTTTCAGCCTTCAATCGATCGATCAGCTCCGGCTCTGATACCAGATGTTAGGTCCCTGTTTTCTAGTCTAGAATATATGTATGGAAGATAGATCTGGGAATGAAGCTTTCCATTGAATGATGAAGAAGTTTACAGAATGATGAACAAAACTTAGCGTAAAACTTCTATCACCGATATAGGCTCTGCGGCACTAGGGTATGAGAATATCTGAAAAGCTTAACCTAGCCTTTCCCTTAAGGCATATATATAGCCTGACGGGAAAGGTAGGTTTTACAATCATTTGGGCTCCTTTTTCTAGGAGGCCCATACCTAAAAAGGTATAAAACCTTTTATTACAAATTGCCTTAAAAGGCCTATTCATTATTCTAGCTATCTATAAACTAGCAAAGTAACATTGATCACAATTACAATAAAAATATCTCTAACAATCTTCAAAGTTTTTGTCTTTAAATCTTCATTGCATCTTCATTTAATTATCTGTCCGGATAAGCTGTATTTAAATAGGTGTTCAGTTCACAAGCTTCACCCAAATGATTTCACTCAAATAGGTGCGTGACTCTATTACCAGTTTTTAGGTTTACAAAAAATCAGTTCAATTACATGTGTCATGCAATTGCCTTGCACATGCATTCAAAATTACAACCAGGTCGTATTTATATACAAGAAAACTTAAGGAGATTGACATTCACAATCAAAGAGTCTCAATCCAAAAAACATTGGCAAGAAGGCACTGCCATTCGGCCCAACATTACCAATACCTTTATAGTTACATTACTATTACCTCACTAAGCTAGTACTATAATCTATACCCAGCTTTAATTAAAATTGTTTTGAGCACATCCCCAAATAACTATTTTTAAATCAGTTTTAATCACATCAATATGTTTCCATATAAGAACTCAAAGGAGGTAAATGATGAATACCTTTTGGTATCAGAAGAGTAAACAGCAGATGGCTTTGAGTTTCTGTGTAAGTAAATGCTGTTGAGAAACCCTATGCTTCAACTCAGAATACTCGCCTATGCTTCAACTCCGAACTCTTAAAACCCCATCTCTTCTGCTCTTCTCGCCTATGCTCAACTCGGAATACTTCTGTCCTCATTTCCCGCACACAGCTCGATTTTTGGTGGATTGTGGCGGAACAGGACAGTGGGCTGTGAGGCTGGTATTTTTCATTGTCTATTGGGTTATTGTGGGATTGGGGCAATGGGCTGTTTTTGTGGGATTGTGTATTGCACCCCATATTATTATCTAAATTGAACTTTGCACTTCGTTTTTAAATAATTTTGTTTTTGCACCCTAACTCCATATGAAAAGACAAAATTGTCCTCAATTAGAAATATGTTGAAGGTCAACAAAATTGTTAATGGAGGGACAATTTTGTTTTTTCATATGAGGTTGAGGTGCAAAAACAAAGGATTTTAAAAACAGGGTACAAAGTCCAATTTAGATAATAATTTGGGGTGCAAACTCAAATTACCCCATGTTTTTTACCCAAAAGGCAAAATTATAAGTAAGTGTTAATATCTGTATCGTATCAATCACGGTATTTCGGTATACCAAAATTTTTATACGGTACATACAGATCCGAACTGACATAGTTCGGTACAGTAATATACCTCACCAAAATTTACGCCAAAGAAAAATTTCGGTAAAATTGGTACTACAATTTTATATATATTTTTATTAGTATATATATTTTAATGTATATTAACTTACTTACTCCCTCCGTCTCGTTGGGACAAAAATGTCCCTCCATTAACAATTTTGTTGACCTTCATTAACAATTTTGTGATTGAGGGCATTTTTGTCTTTTCATATGGAGTTGGGGTGCAAAACCAAAATTATTTAAAAACGAGGTGCAAAATTCAATTTAGATAATAATATGGGGTGCAATACACAATCCCACAAAAACACCCCATTGCCCCAATCCCACAATAACCCAATACACAATGAAAAATACCAGCCCCAAAGCCCACTGCCCGGTTCCGCCACAATCCACCAAAAATTGAGCTGTGTGCGGGAAATGAGGACGGAAGTATTTCGATTTAAGCATAGGCGAGAAGAGCAGAAGAGATGGGGTTTCAAGAGTTCGGAGTTGAAGCATAGGCGAGTATTCCGAGTTGAAGCATAGGGTTTCTCAACAGCATTTACTTACACAGAAACTCAAAGCCATCTGCTGTTTACTCTTCTGATACCAAAAGGTATTCATCATTTACCACCTTTGAGTTCTTATATGGAAACATATTGATGTGATTAAAACTGATTTAAAAATAGTTATTTGGGGATGTGCTCAAAACAATTTTAAATAGAGCTAGGTATAGATTATAGTACTAGCTTAGTGAGGTAATAGTAATGCAATTCTAAAGGTATTGGTAATGTTGGACCGAATGGCAGTGCCTTCTTGCCAGTGTTTTCTGGAATGGGACTCTTTGATTGTGAATGTCAATCTCCTTAAGTTTTCTTGTATATAAATACGACATGGATGTAATTTTGAATGCATGTGTAAGGCAATTGCATGACACATGTAATTGAACTGATTTTTGGTAAATCTAAACTGGTAATAGAGCCACGCACCTATTTGAGTGAAATCATTTGGGTGAAGCTTGTGAACTGAACACCTATTTAAATACAGCTTATATCCGGACAGATAATTGAATGAAGATGCAATGAAGATTTAAAGACAAAAACTTTGAAGATAAATATCAAAAACAAAAACTAAATAACCATAACTACACATTAGTTCTTGAATGGATGCAGTACTGTTTGCTTGTCGGACTGAAAAAAGTTCCATATTTCAGATTTCGGGTTGCTTCATATATATTGCTTTAATCAATTTTATGCTATAATTGCTTTCAAATATGTATTTGAACTGATTTTTTGTTGGTATTATTGTGCTTTGACATTTTTAGTTTGCATAGCCATGAATAATTGGCCAGCACATGCATCGAAGGTGGTTAGTGTAGTTGTCTGCAATTCCAACGGAAACACTCTAGGTTCTTATGGAACAGGAATTATCCTTTACAGCAGCCCTAATAGCATAACAGTGTTCACATGCGGGGATGTTGTGAAAGATTATTTCTTAGGGACTCGTGACCTTGTCCAAGTTCATCTCGGGCCAGAAGAAGTGTATCCGGCCGAATTTCTTACTACACATGAGGGGGCAAAAATGGAGGTGGCGCTCCTATTTTGAAAGATTGCTAGCAACTTTGCCGCGAAGTATATTCCAGAGTATTGTACAGACTTGATGCTCAGTATGGAAGTATACATGGCTGCATATCCCTTAGGAATCCCTCGATTGTACGTAACTCGGGGGATTTTAAATGCACCGGAGAAGGAAAACGATAAAGGGATGCGGCTGCGGGCTGGTTATGCATGATGCTAGTTCACGCGGAGGCTTTTTGGGTAGCACGCTAGTGGATGTCTGTGGCAGAGTATTGGGTATACATGTCACAGCGGGTCGAGATTTCAATTAAGTGTTAATAATAGAACATCTATTTAGAGTCATAGAGGATTTCATGAAGAGGAATGGTCTGGTTGTTGCTGATCTTTCTGGATGGGTTAATTCCAAGAATGCATACGAGTACTTGGAAAGGGTGGCTGTTTAACACTCAGAAATATATGATTTTTTTCTTGATTTTGGCTCCTATGTTTTGTATCTTTGAGGTTAGAATTGTAAAAAGCTAACATGATTCACATGGAGTAGAATCACAACAGATTTTGCAATTGCAATGACACAGTAGTTTCTTTCTCATGCCAAGACACTTGTATAAAGCAGAAAAATGAGTTAGTTGCCCAGTTCATGCTCAAGAACTCAAATTTTAGTATATTCTAAGATTTGGGTTCCCATACTCATTGATGATGATGATGAAAATAGAAAAATTACAAATCTTTTTGGGCCAAGTTTTGTAATGCAAGAATATGCAATATTAATGGTAAAGGGGAAAGACTCACTGATCTGGATGCTAATGGTAAAATTTCTGGTTACCAAACACGGATGGATACTTCTCTTTTAACTCTGCTTTTCAGGAAGTCAGATGGAGAAGATCAGCAACGTTCACCTCACGCCAAATCTGGGACAGAAATCAAACAAATCAGATTAATCTTTTTCAGAGGAAATTAAATAATAAAATGCTCCCACTTTCAGAAAATTTGGAAGGTTTACTGTGATCTGATTTAGGGGAAGCAGCAGCGTGTGATTTCCACGACCGAATTGATATTCAGATTAAAGAAATTTACTCAAGACTGGTTTGGAGCAATCAAGAAGTGGAAATCAAACGAAGGCTATGATCTTTTACTCTCAGAAAACATGATACCGATTGGTTTTAAGAAGATCAAAAGAAAGATAACCTTAGTCAGATGGATGAAGCCAGTCCAATACCTGAAGATGAATGTCGATTCATCCATTTCAGCTGGGCAATCGTCTGGGGGAGCTCTTATGCGTAATTATGGTCTGAGTTTTCGTCTGCAAGCTGACTCTCCTCTTGATGCTGAACTCAAGGCTTGCAACACGGCAATCAGATGGGCGACACAGAGGGGTATTCGAACTTCATCCTCGAGACGGATTCTCTCAGAGCAATTTGCTTACTACAGAATGAAGGATATGAGGGGAGATGGAAGGGTCTACTGGGAAGATATTCGGACAGGGTGGGATAGCGGTGGAATCCCGCATATTTTTTTTTTAGAGAAGGAAATTGGTCCGCACACTTTTTATCCAACTAACTCAGATGCTCAGTAGTGTACCTCTGCAATACACCGGACAATAATATGTTCATATTTTATTATTTGTACGTGGTTATTTCAATATGATAATATATACTATCTTCGTAACGTTAGAATCTTCTCAGTTTGACTCTTTTGGGTCAAACTTTATGAACTTTGACCATTAATTATTCAAAACTCACATTATGTTATGATTAAAAATTTATTTTATATAACTCATTGTAAAACGTATTATTTGAATGTTAATTTATTATGAATTTTATAAATATAGATATGTAGATATTTGCAGTCAAAGTTCAACTTAGAAGACCGTGAAAAGTCAAAATGGGAAGATCTTTATGTTACGGAGGGAGTAGAATTATTATAGATGAAACAATTATTTCACTGAAGTACATGTAAAAGGATACTACTAAATATAGTAATTAAAAAAATAAATGAATATCCTACAAAAATGATTAAAAACATTATACTACGCATAAAAGGAAATTACATACTCCCTCCCTCCGTATTTAAATAATCTCTGTATTAGATGTTGACACAAGATTTGAGGGAAGAATAGTAGGGGCAATGAATAGTGTAGAAAAAGTAGGAGTGAGGATAATAAATCGATTTATCTCAATAAATTTGGCATAAATTTGGTTAAAGAAATGATAAACGGCATTATAACTATAGGAATTAGTCTTTTTATGTATTTGTAGTTCTAAAGTGCTGAGATGTTAGCTATTTTATTTGAAATAGTGTTTGATGTGTAAAATGTGCTATAAGTATTTTATTCGAAATATTAACATATATTAAATAGTTCATGTCTCAATCAGATTTAAACCACTTATTGTTGTAATGTTTAATGGATGAATCTGGTATCGAGAAAATGAAGTTAATTTCCATCATTTTTGCTCGATTTTATGTCCAAAACAGGAGCATAATAGTAGATTTAAGATGCTACAAAATTTAATTAGCAAATACGATAAGTGTATCTACCTCTATATAAAAAGAGGTGTAACTGGTTTTCCCGCCTAAAATCCAAGGCAAAAATGGGTCGGGTCAAGATACATGGACTGGTTGGATCATGGCAGTTGGTTGGAGTCATTATATGCACTCCCATGTTATATTCGAATCTCAAAAGCAAAATTGCATTGGGGTTTGCATATGACTGTATGAGTATGACGGATTATTAATTAGAGACAAGAAATCTTTCTGACAAATTATTGAAAGAACATCTTTATCCATTTGTTGAAAAAGCAATTTAATGCACTTGATTTGATAATAAGGATGCGTGTTCCAATTAATAATAATTAATAATAATAATAATAATAATAAAAAGGATGCGTGTTCCAATTGAAATAACTTTCAAGAAAGTAGCTCTCTCGACTGATTCAATAATTTGAAATGGTTGGTACTAATCCACGCTGTTATTGTAGCATTGTGTTGTCAATTCAAATATCAATACATCATGTCATTTTTCACAGACATTTTGAAGTACCAAATATATTTAGCATTGTAGCATTGTGTGGTCTATTCAAATATCATGTCATTGAAAGCATGTTATTGTCCATCAGGTAATTGAGATACAAGTTCGTCTATTCAAATATCATGCATTGAAAGCATGTTATTGTCCATCAGGTAATTGAGATACAAGTTCAAAGCAGTTCAAAAAATTTAGTATGAATGTGTCCATTTTAAGTAATGAAGCACCCAGAGCATCACACTACATATCCATGGCAAGAAAAGTGAGAGTAGTATGGGTGTTGGAAGTATGTATTCATATGTCTGAAACTCTATTGAAAAACTGTTCATGCGTGCCTGTGTATGTGTATGTGTGAATTTTTTTGAATTATATACTACGTATGTAGTTTTCGAACACAATTACATAAAATGATTTGAAAGTATTTTATTCTATTTATAAATTAAAAATCGTGAAAGTAATTCAAATAAGTGAAAAAATCTTAATTAAAAATTACCCAAATGAGTAGTATACCTATTATAGGTTGGTGATCTCAAATACGCTGGCCATAAACAGTGCACATCCACGTCTCCGGTTCATCCACCAAGAAGCGGTAATCAAATGAATTTCAATGAGCTTTCATGTTCAAATGATAAGCATCAGACGAACCGGCGAGTCTACTTTTTGGATACAAAGAATTGTGGACCAACTTAGGAGAAGCATCAGATTCACCGATTGTGGAAGTATGGATGGTGGTCGCCAGAGTTAGGGGAGACAAAGAGAGCACCGGATTAAACGATGCCTCTCTAACCGGACGAATGGTCCGTTTGCAACAGCTTCTACTTTTAAAAGAGTGCGGGTTATTCATGGAAACTAAGAAGTAAAAGCACAATAATCCAACCTTTAAGCGGTCTTCTTACAATAATCCAACTTTTGAGCGGTCTTCTTAGCGCTTATTTGAAAAGTAAAAGTGGGTAGTGTTTGGTAAAATAAGAGTTTTTTGTGTATTAGAAAAAGTAAAAGCACTTTTGACGCGGAAGCCGAGAAAAATAAAAGCTGTAGTGTTTAGAAAAATAAATGCTTTTTTAAAACCCAAAGCTGAGAAGTGCTTTTTTAAAAGCAGTTACAACTTGCAAACCAACCCGAAGTTTTTATGTACGGATGAATGGGGTTAAGGAGATTATACGTGGAGTATTAGGGCTACGTGTACGTGGAGTAGTATATGGCCTCTTTGGGACATACGAGTAGTTGGGTTTTGGTTTGGCCATAAACATCAAATGTATACATTGGGTTGGGTTGGCTTTCCGAATTGCAATTCACTTACCAGGAAGAAATAAAAATGTGGATGTAATTGACATGCTTTTAAAATAGTCCGAATTTTTGTTCGAAATTTTTCACTTAACACACTTTTTGTAATTCTTCTTTATACCTCGGGGTATAACATTAGTTAAATTATTGCATTCATATCAATGAATTTAGTCTTTCATGTATATTATTTTCAAATAATGTCATTAAGAAACCTATTTATTAATAATTACTACTATATTATTGGACATAAAATGTTAATCAAAATGTTGAAAACCAGTCGTCTCATTAAAACATAGGATGTAGTATTGAGATTAACATATTGTAAGGGTTTATAAAATTTATTTCTGGTGGTGAATATGATGAACAAATTGACCATACTACCAATTTCATTTATAAGGAAGTGTTTCAAAATGCGTACTTTACGAAAACCTTATTGTAATATTTATTTATTCCTTCTTATTTCAAGAGTTTTTTTCTAGAATAATGCAAAATAATAAAGTACTTACGAAATTAGGGTCAGGTTAAAACTATTTACCAAACTACTACTGGAATAAACTAGGGTTAGAGAAAGCCGCCAAACCATTTGACGACTCTCTCAATAATACAGAGGATGTGCGTACAAGCAAAGCCAGAGACTAACAGGTATGGGAAGAGGTGGGGCCAATGTAGAAAAAAAAACTCTTTTTCTTTTAAATGGTTATAACTTTCATATTTTTGTTCCAATTTTTTTAAAAAATATATCAAATTTTATAACTTTTTGTGATGTTTCATAATATGTAATCTATAAAGTTTATAAATTTTCTGAAGACCATATGGGGTAAAAAAAACTAATTGCAATCATCCACCGTCAATAAATTTAATTTTCATCCAGTTTAAACCAAAATATTCTATTCACTCTGTCAATTAAATTTTTCAATATATTTACCCAACATAGTTTTTGTTAAATTCTAGCACTTTTTCATGTACGTGAACTTTTAAATGATTTTTTTTTACGAAAATCTAAGGATACTATCACCTACCGTTCTTTACGCTTAATTTTTAAGCTCAAAATGTAAGACATTTCAAAGAAAAAAAACTCTTGAATTTTTACATTGAAAAAATAAAATCTTGGTTGACATTTTGATTTAAAAAATTAAACATTTCAATGGAATAATAATTTGGAATTTATTTTTTATTGCTTCAAGTATTTTCTCGAAAAATAACTGAAACATGTATAAAATATTGATGAGATTTTAATTTTAACCCTCGGATCTGCTTAAGAAAAAAATTGAACTTAAAAAACTCAAGACAATCGAATATTAAGATTTTCGTAAAAAAATCGGTTAAAAGTTGATGTAGATTAAAAAGTGTTAAAATTTAACTAAAAACTATGTTGGGTAAGTATATTTAAAAATTGAATTGACAGAGTGAATACATAATTTTTGTATAAACTGGTTGAGAATTAAGTTTATTGACGGTGGATAATTGCAATTAGTTTTTTCACCGAGTTTTTGCCACTTTTGATCACCCGACTATTGTCTTATAGACACTTTTGGTACCCGTTTTTGAAAATTTTCACATTTAGTCCTTCAACTTTCATAAAAGTGACAGTTTTGGTCCTTCAACTATTATGATAATGGCATTTTTAGTCCTCCACTAAATGTGTCAAAATCATAATGAGAGAACTAAAAGTATCAATTTGATAATACTTAGAGGACTAAATGTGGGAAACCTTGAAATCGGGGACTAAAAGTATCCCTAGCACAATAGTTGAGGACTAAAAATAGAAAAATTAAAATTCGAGTACCAAAAGTAACATTGACATAATAGTCGAGGGATCAAAAATAGAAATAACTCTTTTTACACCCCATATGGTCTTCAATTTTTTTTTTTAAAATTTATATATTACATATTGGTGTCATCTTAAAAATCACAAAAAGTTATAAAAATTGATATATTTTTTAAAAAATTTAGAGCAAAAATATGAAAGTTATAGCCATTTAAAGGAAAAAGATGATTTTTTCTACATTGGCCCCCACCTCTTCTTAGTCTCCCAGCCAATCTTTCTTTGCTTTTAGGCACTTCCTCCGTATGGTTTGGCGGCTTTCTCTAACTCTAGTTTATTCCAACAGTATTTTGGTAAATAGTTTTAACTCGACCCCAATTTCATAAATACTTTTTTATTTTGCATTATTATGGAAAAAAACTCTTATTTCAAAACATACTTCATAGCAGTACCAATTACGTATTACATATATACTCTTTGCATTAATTTACAAATTACCTAATAATTTTAACAAATACTCCATAATATGTTATAGCTAATACTTAATCTATGTCCCGTGCATCGCACGGGTGAGAATCTAGTTTATATGAAAGCGTGTGACTGTGTGTGTACTACGCATATACTATCAATGCTCTAAACAACCTCAGATCTATCTCAAAGCTGAAGGAGTCATTCAGTTGTTCAACCCATCACTTTGTTACATATAAAACACTCTTGCTCCATGTCTTCACGCTCTTGCCTCAAAAAGTTGTTTTCTGATGCAAGTTAAACCACATTGAATGTACTAACATGTGTTCTGCGGATTGCGTATGTGCATTTTTATAGAGGAATTGTGCACTTAAGTATAACCGCTTATTGGAGGTTCAAGAAACTGTAAAATATTTCGTGCCTAGTAACTGTTCTATACCACGTATTTTAATTAAGTTCATAATAATTTTCTGGAGCAGATAATTTTGTAACTGTTTTTTACATTTAATTTATCGGTCTTAAAATTAAATGGAAGGTCCCACTATCAAGTATCAAACGGCCGTTTTAGAACCTATGAAAATTCTGTATTTGGTCTTAAATATATTCTAAGACATATGCCTTATATTTGGATAAAAAATTTCACTATTAATTTTGTTAGAGCATCTCCAATAGGGATGTCTACTATCTTACACATTCTTACACGTGGGTCCTATTTTTTATCTCACAAATTTTATGTGTAGGACCTACATATCTTCACATTTATTTTGTTTTTCATATTTCTATATCACTTTTAACTCACCTTTCATCCACTTTTGTTCATCGATTCCCGTGTAAAGTCTATTTGTGGACATTGTTATAGACATTGTCTACAATTTACTCCTATCTCTCTCTCTCCATTTTCATTTTTCATACACACTACTTTCTCCATATTAAATTAAAATATTCATTCTATCTCTATCTCTCCTATGTCACGTAGGATAGGCTTTACTCCATTGGAGATGCTCTTAGCAGCTTTTATGTCAATTAAATTGCTAGGCTGCTAAAAATAATACTGGTGGGCCTACTCTCCCCCCAAGTTTACAAAGTTATGAATAATTGAAGTGTTGCCAGAAGTTCAAAACAATTTTTGGAACATTTTTTATTTATAAATTTCTGAAGCGTACCCAATTAATGTTACAAATACTGGTCTGCACACTTGCTAGTTGCTTTTGGTGTGGACGGTCTCCAATTTTTTCCGTTTATCAATAGTTCTTGGTGTACACTCTGGGTTACACCTTGGGGTACACCCATTTATTTGCGCTTCTCACAGACAAAAAACACACGAATACAGACACTTTCTTTGAAAGTGTCGTGTGAGTAAAATTAGTTTCCAGATTTGTCAGGTTGGTTGCACGGAAACCGATGTCGTTGTACACAAACATTAGTTGTCTGTGTAAACAAAAAAATGTCGGTGTGAAAAATTAATTGGAAACCAAGTGTCGGTGTACATAGACGTTAGTAGTCTGTGTAGACAAAAAAGTGTCGGTGCGAAAAAATTAGTTGGAAAACAAGTGTCGGTGTACACAGATGATAGTTGTCTACTTGTCTGTGTAGACAAAAAAGTGTCGGTGTGAAAAAATTAGTTGGAAAACAAGTGTCGGTGTACACAGACGTTAGTTGTCTTGTATAAAAAAAAAGGGAAAATGGAAACTAATAATCCAACCTTTTAGCGGTCTTCTTTTAATAATCCCACCTTTTGATTATTCATGAATAATCCAACCTTTGCACCACATCTTCATTCACTGGTCCTTGACCGGTTGATGATCTGCTTATTCCAAGCTATTTTCTTATCTTTGCAAATCATTATACCATAAATTTCATCTTTCACAAAGATAATATTTTGCAAAGATAAGAAAATAGCTTGGAATAGCAGGTCATCAACCGATCGGGGACCAGTGAATGAAGATGAGGTGCAAAGGTTGGATTATTCATGAATAACCAAAAGGTTGGATTATTGTAAGAAAACCGTTAAAAGGTTGGGTTATTAGTTTCCATTTTCCCTAAAAAAAAGTGTCTGTATATATTCAATTTTCGTTTGTGTACACAGACACTATAGCAAACCAGTGTCTGTGTGGATAAAATGTAAAAAGTGATAAGGAAAGAAAAAGAAGAAAGATGGTGATGAAGATAATGAAGATGATTAGGGTGAACAAAACCTCAAAAAGAGGAGGAGGAGGAGGAGGAGGAGGAGGAGGAGGAGAAGAAGAAAGAAAGAAAGAAAGAAAGAAAGAAAGAAAGAAAGAAAGAAAGAAAGAAAGAAAGAAAGAAAGAAAGAAAGAAAGAAAGAAAGAAAGAAAGAAAGAAAGAAAGAAAGAAAGAAAGAAAGAAAGAAAGAAAGAAAGAAAGAAAGAAAGAAAGAAAGAAAGAAAGAAAGAAAGAAAGAAAGAAAGAAAGAAAGAAGAAAGAGAGGAGGGAGGGGAACCGTATGATTCAAATGGGAGAGGAGTGGAGAGAAGAGAGTGGGAGAGAGGGGAGAGAAAAAAGTTGGGAGGGGAGAAACAAGGAATGGGGGATTATATAGGGTGTACACCAAGGTGTAACCCAAGGTGTACCAAAATAATGTGTAGATTTATGTAGATTTGTACTGTTTTATGTAGATTTGTTTGCCAAATAAGGCAAATAAGGAAGTGTAAAGAAGAATGTGGTACTGACAAAAAAGGAAAGTGTAAAGAAGAATGTGAACAGGAGGGAGTAATAATTAATTGGAGAGGGGAAGGTGGGATTATCAGTGTATCACCGATTCCAGCATGATAAGTTTTTCTTAAAATTGGTAAGTGAAATGAAAGACAAATTTGTGCCTCCTATCAATTTTGTAATCAGAGAAATAATCTCCTCACATTCAATGCACCGTATCACCGAGCAAATTTTATGTCCACCGTACGATTGCTTGATTTCTACATCCACAATTCCTTCCCATTTTTTATGTTAGAGGGTGTTTTTACGTGATCTCTACCCTATAGATAGCGCCCAGTAGACCGATGACTTGGTGATAGGGTTGTAACAACCTGCGGATTGCCAACGGTCCGATTACAAACGGTCCAAAATCTTCTTCAGTCTGTGGATTTTGTTTCCGAGAGAGAAAGAAAGAAGCGCGCAAGCAGAAATACAAATGGGTTTTAGATTCCTCCAAGATAGCTGAGCGGGAGACCTGACCACGACTTGTAACAACCTGCGGATTGCCAACCTAGCAACGTTGGTCAGGCAAATGATGTTTTTATAGTACCTCCATTCTTAAATAAATGCAACATATGGAATTTTACACTATTCACGTGTTCTACTTTGACTATGTTTTATTTATTAAAGTATGAATATATTTTTATGAAAAAAATATTGTTAAATTTGTCTCATTGTAAATTTTCAATATCTAATTTTTTTAATTTTTTTTACTAATATACTCCCTCCGGTTCATAATCTCCTTTACACTTTCCTTTTTTGTCAGTACCATCTTCATCTTTACACTTCATATTTTACCCATGAAATCCCATAAATATCCCTCCCTCATAATACTCCCTCTGACCGCCCACCCACCCAACGCATTAATCTCTTTCATACTCCGTATTTACCAACCCACCCACCCAACGCATTAAACCCCATCGCCCCTCTTTATTCGGTCTGTCTGTAATCCCTCTAACCTTCTTTCTTCTCTCGTCCTCACACCCCATATCTCTTCTCCTCTTCACCGCACCCCTCGTCCTCACATAGTTGCCCCCTTCTGATCTGTGTTCCTCTCCGGTTTAATGGATGCTAAAGCCACCTCTACTCAACTGGGAGATGCAGTGGAGGTGAAGTCGCCACTTGAGTACTCCGACCGCCACCAATCTGAACCACATCTTTCAGATCCGAAAAGTGTGAAGTCCATTCGAATTTCGGATCTGGAAAAAAAGGCAAGTTCCCCACGATACACCCTTAATGTTTGAGTTTTTACTCCTTCTTCTTTAAAAACATTAATCTTCCACATGCAATGTGTTTTGCAGCCTTGGGTAAACCCAGTAATCGTTCGGTTCAGTGATTGTTCCACTAAAACAGATCCTTATTGGCGGTTGAGGAAAAAGCACGGCTCCAACCTGGTCAGTGACACGTTCGAAGGGCTGGATGGCTTGGAGGACTCAGGGGATGAGGCAACCTCCAGATATTTTGAGGGTGAGGAGCCATATGGGGTTGGTGATTCCGCTGCCGAACTGTTTGCTGACACTCCTCCTTATACTCCAAAGGGTTAATTATATGGGCAGTATTCTCTGTCTCTGTACTATCTTTATTTTTTTGAGTAATTGTATGTTTGTTGGCTAAGGTGTATGATGTGAAAACTAAGGATGAATTGGGGGTACTGATTATGAAATTGTTGCTTTTGAAATATGATGACTCAATCTATTTTGTTTGATTGAGGCTGAAAACATGTGTTGCCTAGTGCTTATGTGCTATTCTGTATGCCCAAACTGTGTCTGTGCATTGTAAATGTGTGTGCCTCAAATGTGATGAAATACTTGTGCAACCCACTTATGAATGTGTAGGAGGCCTTGTTTGTAAATCATGTTTGGCATTGATTGACTTGCTTACAATAATTAGTGTACAACAATGATCTGGGAAATACATCAAAAAGGTACTTTCAACATTGTGAAGTACATACAAAAAATGTACACCTACTTGCTTAATCATCCCTGTGTACATACAAAAAGTTGCAAAAAAACATGTCCTGTCTTTTTTAGATAGGCAGTTCAGAGATGAAGATCTTGATAATCTTCATCCATGAACTCTGTCCCTGTCACAACACTGCTTGGTAGTATTGTGTTTGTTGCCATCTGCTCCTCCATGTGTGCTTTAGCTGTGATATAGACTTCCTCATCAATCTGGACATTCTTGGGCAAAAGACCTTGCCTTTCCAATCTGTCCTTCCCAACATGTTTAAGTTTGTAGTTGTTTCCCCCATTGTGCTTCAGAATTTCCTCCATTACATATTGAAAGCTTAAGAAAACTTTGTTTAGGGTGTGAGCTGTGAGATCATTGAATGCACTTTGGACTACTTCTATCAAGTCATTGATATTCTTTGGTGCATTCTGATATTTCAGAGAATCAATTGCCCTAAAAAACCTAAATCCAACACATTCAAATCTGGGCTATTGGGTGGTTGGCAACGCAACTCTATGTTCCAACCATCTTCTGTCCCATGTTTAACAAACTCTGGATCAGTAATAAGTAAATGAGGCCTAGCATTGTCTTGTTGTATAATGACATGTTTGTTTTATGCATCTGGCCACTTTTCTTTAATTGTAGGCAGAATATGTGTTAAGATCATGTCTTTTATAACTCCTCTAGTCACCCTCATTGTTGCCTTTGTCTCTAAGGTCCCAGCTGGCCTATTCTTGCTTGCTCTCTTTGCTTTGTCTTCAAAAGTAAAAGGAAATATCCCTATTTTACCATCCCAAAATACCTCCCCCTGATGGTCTATTCTAGGCCTTCCTACTGCAGCAATAAACATCACTTTTGGTATGAATTTGTTGGACTGAGCTGTTCTGTAAGGGTCCTCTTCTGTTGGAAAGGTATAAAATGTGGTGGTTTCTTTTGATAAGTAGAACCACTTCTCATCTATGTGTACATGATCATAAAAATCATGAAAAGTTGGGGAAAAGGGAAGTGAGCTCGGAATAATATGGCTTAGGCAGAACTCTAACCTTTTCACCATACCCTCAGCTGTGAGAAGAGGTTTAATGGCATTAGAATGTCTCTTGATCTGTTTGCTCTTGAACCATCTCTGCACAGTTGACTTTGATACGTGCATTGCAAATGCCAAAGACCTCATATTTTTCCTTTTATGAAATGGAATTTCAGCCATTTTTGACAAGTCTAATGCAATTTTTTTGGGTCCTACATTACCTGCGTATTTGGTCTGCACATTTATGGCTTGCCCAGCCTGCAGTTGTGCCTTTGCTATGCCCCACAGTGTGTGTACACTTTGTCTTGAGGTGTTGAACTCATTTGCAACTGTTGTGATCATGCCCCTCTGAAGTTTTCCATCTATCAACTTTGCCAACAGCATGTCTATTATGCTTCTTCGCTTTTCATTTGAAAGCTTTAAGTCTTTTGGCAACCTCTGTGCATTCTGATCTGTGTCACTTTCATCTGCAGGTACGTGGGGAAAGCATGTGTACTTGGGGGAGTAAATGAGTGGTATATATAGCAGTATAGCTAGGGTAGAAGTAATTTTGGGTGGGAAAGGTTTCTATTTTTAGATTTTGGAGGGAATCTGAATAATTTTGGGTGGGAAAGGAATCTGAATATTTTTAGCTTTAAGAGGGGTACGAATTACCCTCTCTCTCCTCTTGTATGTTGTCAGATTTGTTTAACTTCATATTACCCCTTTATTTAGTACTTTTACCCTCTTTTCTTTAACTTTACCTTTACTTTTTATATCAAGGGTATAAATGGGAAGTCAAGTACAAAAATTAGGCCACCTTAAATGTGGAAAAGTCAAAGCGTAAAGAACATTATGAACCGGAGGGAGTAAATTTATATATATTAATGGTCAAAGTTGTGTCTCGGCAAGTGTGAAATGTTGACCGTTGCATTTATTTAAGAACGGAGGAAGTGTTTGATTTGAACCGGTGTTACATACTACTCCGTCCCAATTTGATTTACAAATTTGATTTTTCTTGATCAAATAATTTCATTTTATTAGCTTAATTAAGATGTCAATTTTAATTATATTCTAATTTAGAGTTTACAACTTTGAATAGATTTTAATGTAGACTCTGAATATGTATATTTTAATTATTTAAATTCGAATTAATTATTGATAGCAAGTTTTGACTTTTATTATTGGTTGACAAAAAAATGTTGTCTTTGCAAAACAATTTTATTATTACGTGTATTTACTAATAAAAACAATTATGAGAAAGCACCAAAGTATGGAGAAACAAATTAAACGTAATACAATTAGTAGTGGCTAATGTACAATGCGGTAAAGATCTGAATGAGATGCATACTTATAAAACATAAACAATAATATTCATGAACAAAAATTGTTAACAGTGTACATTCACAGTGGTAGAAACAAAGAAAATACAGTAATGACTAAAAATCATGATCTTAAACAATCCTATTTATTCAAGGGACAATTCCGGCTATCAAGATGGCCCATCTCATTGCACGAACAACAAAGTTTCTAGGGAAGTTTAGATTCTTGAATATAAACTTCTTTGGAACTTAATCCTATGTCTTGAACATTTACTCCTGGCTTGTTGTGGAGGATGACCCGTGATGACAGAAGGCGTAGCTGAACCATAAAAGGACTCAATTACTGACTGCTTCATGGATGTTTGTTCATCCCCGCTCTGAAGGGAAAGAAGAATCTCTTTCTGAGCTTTAATAATGCCTGAAAACTGCTTCGAGTGACTTGGGTTATTTTCAACGAGAGCCCTACCAGATGTATGAGTCCTTTTATGATAGATGCATATATATCAGACCATACAGAGTTCACACACATCTTATTATCCTCCAATGTGACACTTTGTTGAAATAGAAATTTCAAACATTGGTTTGATTAAACCCTTCTTACACCAATGAGTATTAACAAAATGGTTTGGAACTTTTCAACTTTTAAAACAAGATGTGAGGACAAATCAAAGTAATCCGTTTAAAAAAATTACAACTGCACTAGTCCTTCATAAGTTCATATTTGACATTTCAAAATGAACTTTAAACACCATATTACGATCGTAAAAAATGTCATAGTCAAACTCACTATCGAGGCCATCAACACTAGACATGTACAAACACGGGCTCGGGCCGGGATTTATCTAAAATTTCTACCCACTTTAATGGGCGGGCCCGGCACGGCCCGGATCAAACAGGCCTCCTCCCATGTCCATGCCCGCCCATACTAGCGGGCCGGGCAGTCCATCGGGCCGCCGGGCCCGGGAAAATTTAGCATTAGTTGATAGTATTTCTAAAATATATCACAACATCTTAAAATCAATTAATAAGCTCAATAACATTAATCTAACTACTTCGAGCAAAACGTTTATCCAAAACAATACCGTTAATTTAAAGTCAAACCATAAATTGAAACAAAAATGTCCAAGCACTCTGAAAGACTTAAAATTTACTTAGCAAAACACAAATAATGATTTAGCTCTCAGGAGTTTCAAAAGTAGGACTAAGGAGCAAAACTTGACTTGTCAGGTTACTCAGGTACTTCATTCCACTGCCTCTTCATGCTATATTATTATTATTATATATATTGTATTTTTTCGGGCCGGGCTTTTTGGCCCGAACGGGCCTACATTGAACCCATACCCGCCCACATTTTTATCGGGCTCAGGCCGGGCCGGGCCGGTGGGCAAATATACATGTCTAGACCCGCCCATTTATATGGGCGGGCCGGGAGAGCCGGCCCGTGTTTGTACAGGTCTAATCAACACGTAAAACACGATAAGAAAAACACGTTGAACATATTTTCATTTCTAGATCATAAAAAACATAGAGCATGAAACATTATGAAGCAGCTTTTTCATAGATAATCCAGTCTTGAGAACCGGAATGTAAGACTCCATATCAGAATTCAGGATGTTTTCTTTTGGACTGTTTTCAGTCCCGAACCAGACCAGACTTCCGTAGTTATAAAATACACAGAAACCAGACGTTTACCAGATTAGTTCGGACCAGATCAGACAAGATCAGACCATACCAACAAATTTCATTCCAAAAAATTCAAACTAGCCATAAAAGTATCTCTAAAATAAGAAGGAATCCCACATCTGCTCAACTCAAACATTTGAAAAAACAATAAATATCTAATAATTAATTTTTATTATAAAGGAAGTAATAATACACTAATTATGAAAATTAATGTTTAATACGGAGTTACGGACGACGGAGTACTTATACGATGTATACTGTATTTATTTATGTTCGAACTTGCCAGGTTGGCGGTCCGCAGGTTATTCCAAGTCGTCGTCAGGTCTCCCGCTCCCCTATCTTGGAGGAATCTACCCTAAATAAAACCCCATTTTCATTTCTGCTTGCGCGCTTCTACCTTTCTCTAATAAATCTCTCTCTCAGATACAAAACCCAGAGACAGATGAAGAAAATTTCGGACCGTTTGTAATCGGACCGTTGGCAATCCGCAGGTTGTTACAAGTCCATCACAAGTCGTCTTCTGCGCGCTAGCTCTCTCATTGGAAATAGACCGTTGCCTCATCTTTAAAACCCCATTTCTCCCTTTCAGACAGATAGGCCGGCCGGAGTTCAAGATCAGAAATCTGGTTTTGAAGCTGACCGGAGCTCGTCGACGCACGCCCTTTTTCTGCCGGTAATTTTCGCAATCCATTCTTTTCTTGAATACCCTGTTAATGTTTTAGATGCTCAGTCCGACCCAAGAGCGCGCTTTGTGTTTATATGTTTCTTGATCAATTCTATGAATTGATCGATTCGTGCATGCATATATATAGGCGATATAGCTAGA